TTGTTGTTGTTGTTGTTGTTGTTGTTGTTGTTGTTGTTGTTGTTGTTGTTGTTGTTGTTGTTGTTGTTGTTGTTGTTGTTGTTGTTGTTGTTGTTGTTGTTGTTGTTGTTGTTGTTGTTGTTGTTGTTGCTGTTGTCGTTGTTGTGGTGCTGTTTCTTTATCTTAACGTCCAATAAATTGCGTTCTTGTTAAATCAGGTCTTAGTCACGGATGTGTAAGCGTAGAGTAGTTTCAAGCAACCTGACAACGGATCTGTTCCAATTGAAACGACGAGCTGTCCTGATGCGGTACAAGTAAAGAATGCAGTGGTATAGATTGCTGGCTCAGCATTTCGTATCCCAGCCCACCATCAGATATGCTGATATCAAATGAAGATTCCCTTTGAAGAGAGTAACTCTCTAGAAGTAATTTCCACGTCTTCCCACACTCTGTCTGGATCTAAAGAAATTAAGATAGTTTACACCGCAGAAGGAAAGCCAAAAATGCAAAATCAGAAACTACGGTTATTCAAATGTTCTTCCTTGAGCCTCTAGAGTAGAGGTGCAGTAAGGATCATCTCTTATTGATCCAATACTACTACAGGAGGAAATCTAAACTAAACTAACTTTATTTATACTGGATAGCTCTATCAGTTCTAAACTGTTCTTCTTGGAGTGCCAATAGCGACTTAATAATAACGTCCAACGTACCAGAAGATAACATGTTCCATGTACTTTATCTTGCACAATATTTAATGCCTTGACGACACCTTCGACACTTGTATGAAAGACAGTCTGACCAAACTTGTGAAGATCCACAAACACGATTTCACCTAACTACGACAGCGATGAGAGACACAAGAATTTGGTGTAAAAAACACTTTTAGAAATACAATGAATCAAACAACACTTCAAATGACTCAAATCGTCAGGAAAATATACGAGGCAGTATTTTGATAGGCTTGAAAACAGTGTTTTCAATTCTCCGCTTTGGGGAGTAACGAAAAACCATAGAAAGCGGTATTACAGTGTGAATACAGATCAGATATACCTGTACGACTGGAATATTGTCTTCAATCGATTCTTTATTTGCCTTGCCTTTGTCTTGGAGTTTGACGCATAAATTGCGCTACGTTGCGAGAGTAATTCCTAGTTTTACTTCTCCTTCCAAAATGTCAACCTACCTGCGTGCCCAGTATGCATATATGCGTATTGATCAATGATTGCTGCCACCAGACAATACTTGTAGCAATACCTAGTAAAACGTTAGTTTAGCGTTCCATGTAGTATAACGTGGCTATAACACGTAAGGTATTCACGAAATAAGAAAATAATCAATACCTTTCCTTTCGTGGGGAGGAAGTCTAGTTAAATCATTGTTTTCCCAGTGAGGTGGACAATCCACTTCTTCTGCGCCCTAGAACGATGTATGTTTCAAACCAAAAAGTACACTGATGCTTAATTTCTTCACGAGAGTGATACTTTAAACACACTTTATTAAGTTTATTTATAGGCAGTTAATAAGAGAAATAAGTTAAAAGCTTTATGAAATAACATATTCTTACCAAGATGAGAGCTAGAACTGGCAAGAGATAAAGATATTTGTCTCTACATGAACACAGGAGCCACGAACCAGATGGATCGAGTGACATGCACTGGATGGATCTAATTGGACCCTGACAAAATAGAAATTCTTGAGTTCTTTATGAAGCGTACATGTACCAGCAAAACAATGAGCAACTTTTATGTATAGCAGATTTTTAGAGAATTTTGGAATTTATATGAATTTTACCTGAAACCAAGGAATTTCTTTAAAGATTGCTTTTTGATAAAGCTGATAGTGTCGAACAAGGAATGTTTCTAATAAAAGAATAACAACTTCACTGGTACAAGTAAGCTTTAAGCTGCTGAAAAAAACACTTGCAAATGGCTGTATTTTTATCAAAAGATGTCTAATTAAACCTCTGAGATGACTTGAAATATACGGTTCATCAACCATCATCTTTGTTTGACCCGGGCTTATATCTCTGATTTCTTTCAAATTCGTCTCGAAAACAAAACTCCTCTTTCTTTACTTTACCTTTCTTATTACTTTCATTGCGACACAGCAAAATCAACAAACGTCTTTCCGAGTCTTCATAAAAACTCCACAATCTCACGTAAGATGAAGTATCTACTACATCTAAATCATATGAAGAAACAAGCTCATTGCCGGGGAATTGTTTGCTGGACTATAAATAATTTATTTTGGGGAGAAAACATCACGTTCCTATAACTTGCCAAAGTCTTCGATCCAAATTATGGTTGACACTGGGAAGCAGTGCTCTCGCTATCTGCATACTTACAGTACACTTTGCTGGTACCAATCCTAAATCTTGCTTGGTATTCAATCCTAAATCTAATCCCACAACCAACAATGCTAAAACTAGTCCTAAAATTTATCCTGAAACTAATTCTAAAACTATTTCTAAAATCCTTAAACTAATCCTTAAATTAATCCTTAAACTAATGCTTAAATTAATCCTAAAACTAGTCCTAAAATTCTTAAACTAATCCTTAATTAAACTAATCCTTAAATTAATCCTAAAACTAGTCCTAAAAATCCTTAATCTAATTAATCCTTAAATTAATCCAAAGACTATGATGAGCTTTTCAAGATTGATCAAATGTTCTAGACAAATTTCACACAAGCATATACACAGTATTTTTAATTGCAACACATCAATCTTCAATAATATTAAAGTTAATTGGTTAATATTGTAACTTCATAATATTAAAGTTAATTGGTTAATATTGTAACAAAATACCTTTCTGTTTCTCTTTCAAAACCGGGCGTACACGAAGGACATGTGCCAACTCAAATAACTCGCATTCTTTAAGACGCATATCAGGCAGCCCTGATTCTTGCTTCTTCATCACCTCATAGTATTTGGAATAAAAACATCACCTGCTACAAGCATGATGGTTGACTATTTTGACATTAGCCAGAACTCGTGCATGAGATCTGATATTTGGCTTACAATTCAAGCCCCAACTTTAAATCGAAAGACATGAAAACAGAGAGAAAAAAAACAAGCTTTTACTAACTGTGTTTTTACATAGTGATGAAAAACCAGGACAACTTTCAAAGCGAATTGTTACTTGAATTGTTGCAATTTACACGAACCGGAAGCTGTACCGGAAGTTGATTCTGTGATTCCAGTTCCATATAGAGAGCAGGGGAAAACTAGGGCTAAACTAGGGTGTTTTTGTCCCGTTCGCAGGCTACGTTCTTCCATGCCACATTTAACAATGGAATTGTATATCAACATGGCGCTTTCGAAAGCTTGAATTTTACACGTGGTTTTTTCTGCATTAGTCAATGTTGATGGTGTTTCTTGTGGGCGATTTATGTTTATAAAATGTAGTTTAGTACGGTGCAAATCGGGGCACTAGATCGGAGAAAATAATGGGAATCCAGGGCCTGCAATCCTTTGTTGAAATACAGTGTTCAAACGACGCATGGGGAGACATTGATTTCAAGGAACTCAATCAAAGTTTAAGTCATGGAAAAACATCAAACGCGCCATCAGTTCTTGTTGTGGATGCAATGAGCTGTTTAAAACATTTCTACGCTTCCAACACGGACTGGGTTTGTGGCGGTCAGTGGAACGAATTACTCCGCAATGTTGAAAACTTTGTGAAAGCTTTTCGACAAATCGATATCGAACTGGTGGTGTTTTTTGATGGCGAACAAGACACGGCTAAAATTCAGAGCTGGATTCAAGAAGAAGAGGAATATCGACAATTAGTTCATCAGATTTTATCGCATGTTCATAACACAGCTACATTTCCACCCAAACGACATTTTTTTGCTCCGAAAAGCATCTCCACGTGTCTTCGTCTTGCATTCCGTTCACGCGATGTTGTCGTTTGTTCTACGGTGGGGGACTTGCACAAAGAAATCATCAATTACTGCAAGAGGCACTCGTGTTTGGGGATCCTAGGCTACCATTCCGATTACCTCTTGCTTGATGCGATGTCCTATTATTCATCGTCGCATCTCAAAATAGTCAAAAGGTGTGGGGCGACATCAATGAGGTTTAACACCGATGTGATATTTCGTGAGCTGGAATTAGATCGAAGTCGCTTAGCCCTGTTTTCCACGCTGCTTGGCAATTCATTCCTGCCCGAAGAGTGGCTCGCACAGTTTCACTGGTCACTTCTGGGACCGGATCACCCCCTAGCAAAACTACAGGTATATATTTTCGTTTTGATTTGGAAAATAAATTATGCAATATGTATTGTACCAATATTCAATATTGATTTGAATTCTTGGTATAATGCATTATCAGTTTGAGTCGAGACTGATGTATTTTAGCTGCACCTGGTTGTTGGACGCCCACATGCCTGTGTCCAAAGTGAATGATGAACGTCTGTAAAGGTCTCTGACAAACTATAGTGCAAACGATCACGCACCTGAAAATGCAAGGTCTGATAAAATGCAAAAATGTAAAATGCAAGCTATTACAGTTGATTTCACAAACTTTTGGCCACGCCAATTGCGAGGTTGGTTGGGAATTTGGGAACTATAAACACAAGATCATCAAGTTGATTGGAAACCGGCCAATCAAATTCAGAAGTTTTGCATCAAAATATCGAAATTCGTTATGAAATTCCGAAGCAAGTTTGCAAGCAAGTTCGCAAATTGCAAACAATTTTGACGGTAAATTTTAAAAACTAAACTTATTGTATTAAACTTATTATAATTTTAAACCTGAAATTATTATTATTATGATATTATTTATTATTAAATGAATAAGTTTAATTAATTAGTTTTTTGTTTTTAAAATTTACCACCAATTGCCAACTTGCTCGCGACTTGGTTCGGAATTTCATAACAAATTTCGATAATTTGATGCGAAACTTCCGAATTTGATTGGCCGGTTTCCAATCAACTTGATGATCTTGTGTTTATAGTTCCCAAATCCCCAACCAACCTCGCAACTGTAAAACCTATATTCAGTTATATTTGCTTTTCATGTTGAAAAGTGCTTCATTCATATTTCTTGTATTTCAGGCTCAAGTTGGAAAGCAGTTTATCTTGCCTCCGTATGATGTTGTTGTAAGAAGCGTGGCAAAGTATGTGCGAGACTTGGTGGATATCTCCGACCTTCAAGCCATCATGGTGCAAGTGTTCAGATCACCTGAGACGACCGAAGCAGATTTCTTACACAGATTACAAAGATCAATTCAGCATTACTCCAACGATAGTTCCGATGAAGGTAAGCTTTGTTTATCAAGGACAGCAAAGTTACCCAACTGATATTTTGGGGAAATCCGCCCTCAACAGCATGTCTTTCATTTGTTTGTATCCCACAACTGAGATGTGCTGACTGGGTTCGAATTAACAGTGTGTAATATGCAATTTGCATATCACTTTGTCCAAAATTGGGAAAATTGCACATCACTTTTCCAACTGATGTACAAAAGATCTGTTATTAGTAAAGTGGTTGTGACTAATGCTTATTTTCCTGTTTTTATATACAGCTATTTCAATTAAGGTTGTCCCCTGAGCAAAGCGGAAAAGTCGAATATGAGCGCGAAAGGCTGCTGGGAATCCCTAATAAATTCATTCATTTATTAGCGATTCACAGGAGCCTTTTCGCGCTCGTATTCGACTTTTCCGATTTGCTCGAGGGACAACCTTAATTGAAATAGCTGTATACAAACTTTTGTAAAAAGGATAATTTTAGTTCAGTTTCTAAGTATTCTAGGTATTTTATAATACATGCAAAATTTGTTCAAAGTGCTACTTCTTGAAAGGACATATATGACAGGCATGCTGTCTAAAACATGTGATTCAGAGGCAAATGTTGTCCCACAAATTGCACATCATTTTTTCTCAACTCATTCGAACCCTGGACTCATGTGCATAATTTTGATGTTTTCTATATGTTTAGTAAATTTTTGAAAGCCCAGGTGTGCAATTTCCAATTTTTCCATTGAGTACATTGTGCTTCCCTAATTAGTTGCATTTGACAAACTTCAATCTTGTTTTTCTAGTGAAAGAGAATGGCGAATCTGAAAGTCCTAGTAACTACCCAACTGTATCAACTGTTCCCAAAACTGATGTTTTATCATCGCCAAGTAATGGAACTAGCGAGTCAAACTATCAAAAGCGATGGCAGCATTGGCAACAGCATCAGTTTGTGTCTGGTGAGCTTTTCAAGACTTCAAGTAAGGTGAGAACACCGTTAAGAGTATTTTATGTTAGACAAATAAAGATGAGATGCATATTGAAAGTTGGCTGCCAGTATAGGTAGCGAAGAATACATTTTCCAGGCTTGTGTGTATGCACATGCAATACCTGAAAAATAAGAACAAACTTCAACATTTTGAGCGAGCATCCTTCATCTGCGGCTACAGTATTGACTCCAAAATGAAGGGCCTGAAGTGTTCAAGTTTGTTCTTAGTTTACTGATGGTTGCATCATACACAAGCAAATAATGTGATCTATAACAGATTTTATTTTGCTGCAATGATGAAGTAATTAATAGTTTCTGAATCAATGATATGTTGATTCAAACCGAGCTTTTTAAAACTGAGCAGCATCATATTTCTGACAATGTTTTATGTTAGGTCTAAAATAGGCACAACAATTCCCCATACATTCTCACTCCATACTGGTTAAGTGTCGAGAGACTATTTATGGGTTAAACACTCAACTGCAGCAACCAATATTTTTTCAGATATCAAATGGTATTTCGCCATCCAGTTCTGAGCCAGACGTGGAAAAACTTGTTGCAGATGTCCAGCAACTTCAGTTGAAAGAACTGGATCTCAAGGGACCTGACCAACAGGACCTCCTCAGTCCCACACAAACCCTTTCTGCCCCAGATACACCCAGTACTCCTACCCAAGAGGCATTTCTATTGGCCAGTCCTGGCACACCAGAAACACCAAAAGCTTTCGACGCCGCAACAAGTCCTGTTGTGTTTCCACCTACGGAAGAAAGTGCAGCCATCGCTGGTGAAGTGTCCACTGAGCATGATGACCCAGCCTCACAAGGTGAGTCTTTGCAATCAAAGCTTTCCAAGCAACACACACACACATGAAAAAAACTATAGTTAGCTGCAAGCTGGATTGTTATCATTTGAAAATTTAATATTTTTTATGAGATTTTACTGTCGTTCCAATTGAAGTGTTCCTCAAATATTGATGCAATACATTACCTCGGGCTGACCGATTCATTTCATCAAGTTCCTCGAGATATTCATACACTTCCTGTGAAAGAGCCAATTCCAAGTATTTGATCATTTCTGGTCTCTTCCTGTCTATTTATGATTGGTTTAGTTGCACAAACACAAAGGTGATTGGTGCATTCAAAATATTCAACAGGAAGTTTACAATTATACAAGGAAGTGTATGAATATCTCGAGGAACTTGATGAAATGAATTGGTCAGCCCGAGGTAATGTATTGAATCAATATTTGAGCAACACTTCAATTGGAACGACAGTAAGGCTTGACATACAAACATCGGTCAAACATCTTGTATTTTTTCAATTTAAGATGCGACTATAGAAGCAGCTGAAGTTCCATCACCCACGGCCTCGACGGATTCTGAGCCCACACCACCTATACCAGCATCTCAGCTGTCTCCTGTACGAGAGAGAAATATTTCGCCATCCTCTAGCGATGGTAAGTACTCAGACACCATTCATTATTCACCATCATGGGCAATTAATTAAAGACAAACAAATTTAAAATGTTGTTTTAGATAAATCAAATGAAAAACCACTGTCTGTGTTTTATGCCTTCATATCACCAGAAGTATTGAAAACAGCAAAGAAACGTCATGAAGCTGGCCAGATGATGGAAATGGTTTATCAGGTAACCAATATGTAATTTTGACTGGCTAGAACCTGGTCACAACAAACAATAGAGTACCTTGAAACATGTAGAGTGTTGAACGTGCAAGAGGAAGGTTATTCAAAGTTTATTCCTCTGGTCAAGGAAGCAAAGTTTATTTTAATTTTTCATTAACAGAATTTTAAATTTTCAAATTTAGTACCAAGAACAATTTTCTTTTTCTTTGTGGCGATGGTCCTCCATCAAACTCGTTGTTGTCTATCTTCAAGTGTCCCGTATTCCTTAGATTCTATCCCTTCAAATACTGTGTTTTAGGTGTTATCAAAAGGTGAAATTAAGATTGGTGCCGCACTGGAAGATGAGAATAGCAAAGGGCGCGCTTCGACTGCCTTGTTGTACCGCAGCATACGTCAGCGTGTTTATGGCATTCTATTGGATAAGAAACTCTATGACTCCGCTGGCGCTGAGCAACCGCGCACTCCACCACCGTCCATCAGAGAATGGTGTATTTATGGCGGGAAGAAACTGGAAAAACCAGATATGGTGGAACCGCTGAGTCTGAAATGGGACGTGCCTGGGTGTAAGCAGTTATGGCTAGGAACACAACCCAGTGACAATACGAACAGATTGAAAGCATTTCTCTCATGTATGCTCAGCGATTCACCCAGTATGACAAAGACTACCATGGTACCACAACGATGTATTATTCTTTGCTGTGTATTACGGTAAGCTGTTTGTTAAGTTTAGACTGTGTTCATAGGACACGGTAACGAAATAATACCGCCAGAATTGACGTGTGGTCACACTACTTGGGCCAAATAAAAGTAATAGTTGGTTTCAGGTTTCCGACTGACCTGTCAAAATTATGACTGACCATAAACATTTTATTGACATTTCCCAGTAGAGATCATCTTTTCGTAAATAGCAGAATATATAAATGGTCGTCAGACTCATTTGTCTACAAATGATTTTGTTTGCTTATAATTTAATCATTATCTAGTCATGTTAATCATAGTTTTACACAAAGAACAGTTGAATAAAATATTTAAAACGTACATTATTCTGACATGGCAGCTACGGCTGAAAAAAGACGAAAACGCCTTTGTGCGTTTGTTTCTTGCGAAACGCATGTACGTAATATATTTTAAAATAGAATATTTTTTAAAATAAAATGTTTTTTCGACTACCTACCCATATAAAACATGGCTGTGAAACCTGAAACCAACTATTATTTTTATTTGGCCTCATGTAAACCCAAAATATTTCAAATAGAGCAAAGAAATTTAAACGAAAAACATTCGAATTCACTGTTTTGAGACGTGAGATTTTTAGTTTGCAAGCGGTACAAAAAATAACTGCGTTTGTTCAAATTGTCCGTAAATTATTAATAATGGCGAGCATTATTTGCGTTGCAGATATCTAATTCAGAAACAAACAGGTCATCCTATTCTGCGCGCTCAAGAACTCGAAGCATTCCTGGCGCAAGCGCTGTCGCCTCATCTCACCACAGAATGCAACGTGACAAACCTCAGTCAAATTAAAGTTAACAAGGTGGATGTACGTGGAGTTAACTTGGCAACAGTTTTCATGCGTGGAGTTGAGACTGCAATCTTTGCTAACGATTCCTGCGGTTCCCCCATCCCCTGGGATCTGGTGTGTCCGTGGAATTATTTTGATGGGAAATTGTTTCAGAGTAAATTGAACATTACAATGAGTGATAGTGCGACGTTATTGGATCTCTGCGATGGCAATGTAAGTATATGCAAATTTTGATAGCTGAATAGCTGTGACAATTATTTTTCACAAAGCTGTGACAATTATTTTTTCACAAAGCTGTGACAATTATTTTTCGAAAGCATTGGTAGCTACCCCGTATATCTTGCTGTATATCTTGCATAAATTAGTGGCAAGAAACTTTAACAAAAGGCGGTGGTTGCAAGCCTCATGTAACCCAGGCCTCGAATTTCCCTGAAATCAATCGACGGCAATGGCGTTAAAAATTGCCGTAGAACGTAACAGCTGTCTACGGCAATTTTGGCAGTTTCCAC